TAAGCTAAATGTGAGATGTCAAAGCGGTGACAGTTACATGAGGGAAAATGTGGTTGGCAAGGTCTTGATTTACTGTTATCACACTTTATTATATCCTTGCCCCCAAATCCTAAGAAGATGTTAGCATTTTTATTCCAAAATCTTCTAAAATTCAGCTTTAAGAAATTACATAATTTATGAGAGCTACATTTCAGATATCTTTAATAATTTTATCTTGTTAATTCTTTACAAAGCTCAACAGAATTGGTATGGTGTAGAACAAAAGGACAAATAATAGTTTGTGTTTTAATACTTTGATTTAAGGCTTATTATCTTTATATCCTGAAAATATTTGACAAATAGTACTTAGTGAGTGTTATATCTAAGTCTGGTAGAAATCAGATATGTTCTTTTTTTTTTTTTACATTTTTTAAAATTTTATTATGTTACGTTAATCACCATATATTACATCATTAGTTTTTGATGTAGTGTTCCATGATATGTTCTTAAAGATTTTTTCCTTTTAGAAGAGATTGTCAGGAAGGCATAATATATTACACATCTGTTTGTTAATCAAAATGTCTAACTGGAATGTATTTTGGGAGTCCATATATAGTTCTTCTCTAACATTAATCTGGTGAGATGTATATACATATATATACATGTGTCATATATTTTTTAAATATAAATAAAGAGTAAAAAATATGTTTTGCTACAGAAACCACTTAGACTTCGGAGTGGCCATGAGAGGTGTTTTCAGGATAAACACAGGGTACTTCTGCTTCCTTCTTGATAAATCCAGGCTATTTAAAAGCTGTCACATTGCCCTGTTGCCATGGATATTGTAATGAGGGAGAAGGAAAAAACTATTCCTAACTTCTTGTCTTATTTCTTAAGATTTGGTTTTGATAATTTTAAATGTTTCATTTTTGAAATGCTAGATTATGCTTTGTGGTGAAGAAAGGAGATTTATAATTTTGACACTGTCTTTCTAGTCAGTGTCTGAGGCCTTCTGTAATCTTCCTCTTCAGTCAAAAACTGAGTGTCTTGTCAGCTCTTAGAATATGGCAGTGTCAAGAAGCCCTAGCAGTGGGCGCGATTTTAGAGCCTCTTTGAAATAGGCTTTGCCCCTCAATTTATTGGTGATGGCATTGGGCTTAAATGTATATCATCATGGAATAAAATGCAATACCTAGATATTTTTAGTTTGTGTTTTTTTAAAAAATACTGAATCTTTCTTTGTTTTAGAGGGCTGTATTAATTTAGAGGATTTTTTTAGAGTTTCTTCCAAATTCTCATAATGGCACTATATAAGCAAAGATTTTTTTATCCCTCAAGTCTATGTTTCTTAGATATTATAATCATCTAAGACTAGGAAAATAAATGCTTTATTTCTGTCATTTTACACAAAGATCTGTAAGAATAATTATAAGTGTAAATGAATTAATTTTTAGTTACTAGAAAATCACTCACAGAAATTGAATAGAAAATTAATATCTTTTTATGTATATTTAAGTTCTGAAAGATTAAATATTATTCTGGCTAGAATTTCAAGATTTCTTGGGGTGCGTGGGTGGCTCAGTCGTTAAGCATCTGCCTTCGGCTCAGGTCATGGTCCCAGGGTCCTGGGATCGAGCCCCGCATCGGGCTCCCTGCTCCGCGGGAAGCCTGCTTCTCCCTCTCCCGCTCCCTCTGCTTGTGTTCCCTCTTTTGCCCTCTCTCTCTGTCAAATAAATAAATAAAATCTTAAAAAAAAAAAGATTTCTTACCTACATAGTTTGTTGCTTTGGTGTATCTGTCCTTGAATTTTCTCTTTAATAGATTTCAAAATAAAAATAATGAGGTTCATTTCTTAAGTTTACACTTATGAACAGTATCATCTGAATTCAATCTTTGTAGCTCTCACTAATGTATTTAAGGTAGTACTTGGATTACTATGAATATATAAAAGAGTGATCTCTAAAATTATCTCTGCCACATATCAGTGTGTTTGTGATACTACCTCAGCAAGATTTGAAGATGAAGAGATATAAGGTAGTTTTTAAAGTGATCGACTCTTTTGCCTTTTTAATTTGTGAGACAACCTATGAAATGCCAACTCTAAGATAATAATTCATGTCGGAATTGTTGAAATCCATCTGGAATAGCCACCTCTTTTTGGAGTAGTTTGTAAGGTTTAGGGCATAGATGTTCTTCACTTACATAGGTTGATCCACTCTAAGGAGCCAAGGAGCAGTCTGTATTCAGAGCAGTGTTTCTCAACCCATGAGGCTGGTAAGAAATATGGGTTATATTATGATCCAGCCTGCATATGCTCGCATGTGTGCACAAATATGCAAAACAATTCATGAATACTTTGTACAGTGCACTGTTTTCTATTTCATTTTTTTTAATGCCAATTCTAATTGTTATCCAAAAATAAGATTTCAAAACTGAGTATTGGGCCATGTCTGCAGTTTGATAAACTATGTTTAGGATATGCCCCTTATTCTTAACTTTAAGTTTTTCTTTACCTTGCACTGCTTATACACATGTTCTATATTATATAGTTTTCTATGGAGATCGTTGATAAACACCTATTTAAACTATGATGCAATTGCAATCTAAAGAAGAAGAGAAACTCTGCGAACCCATATAGATGTGTGACATCTGGAAGGAAAGATATTTTCTAGACTGTTTGCAGTAGTTCTGAGGATGGGAGTCAGGATTTCCAGAGGATCTCTTGTTTGTTTGATTTGGCTTTTTCTTTCCTTTCCAAACAATGGGTAATTTCATACTCAGCAATATTTTAAAAGGTAGTTCTAATTTATTGGGAAAATAACTCATAAACCAGAATTTGAATTTTTAAAAAGAAGTCATTTTGGCCTGAAGATTATTAGAATGCAGAAAGTAAATAGGAAGGAATTCCTTACAGTTTTATTCCATGCTGCTTTTGCAGGGAAGAAGTTTCAGTAAAATATATCAAAGAAAGAATTTTAAATTGGGGGACAGAAAATAAGCTTTAGTCACTCTTTCTCTATTTAGCATATGATATCTGAGCCTCAATTTGCAAAGTGAATGAGTTTGGCCAGATTATTTAAGTTTGTTTTCAACTTTAAGACTTTCTGATTTTAGGTTAAATCAGGGATTAGATTTTTAAGTGCCTTCTAGGCATAAGACACTTATATGGTAAAATTTAGAATATTACAGACAGGGGTATGAATTAAGATCAATGAGGACCTGTTTGAGGAAGCTGCTAGAATCCTGCTCAGATGTTATTTGAAGTTTGCGTGCTTTATGGCCACTTAATCCTCCGATTCTCTTGCAGAGTTGAGTGCTTATACACTCAACACAGATTGTCCAGGAAAGAAGGAAGGATGGAAGTTCTAGCATTTTAAGTATTTAGTTGGAATTGACTCCGTGGTTACTATAAACTGTGCTTTCTTTGAAATTATTTTGCTATAAAAGTAAGTCTTACCTCTATTGGAGGTGAAAAATAGAAGAAAATGTGAAATGGATTATGTTAAACTTCTGAGAATTGTGTATTGTTATAGGCTGATAATTCTGTATTTGAGAAGGTTATTAAAGAATTGATATCCGTGATGGTAGGTTAATTAAATAAATAACAAACAATTTTGAAGGAGATAGTTGTGATTAAAAACAAGTTAAGAGTAGATATATGTTCTTAGAAATTATATATCTGTATAGCTAACAAAAATGTACTCCTACAAACAACTAAGTTATGAACTTTTTAGGTAGTTTAGAAGTTGTAGAAGAAATGATCTTGTAGGAATGGTTTGAGAAATGACTGTGAGTGAATGAATGTTTTATTTTCTCGGTCTAAGAGAGGTAGGCTATATATTTAATGGAATGTTACTCAGCTGTAAGACAGAATGAAATCTTGCCATTTGTGACAACTTGGATGAACCTTGAGGGCATTATGCCAAGAGTAGTAAGTCAGACAGAGAAAGGCAACTGCCATATGATCTCACTTATATGTAGAATCTAAAAAAGAACTCCAAACAAACAAAAACAAATGAAAAAAACAAGTTCATGGATACAGAGAACAGATGGGTGGTTGTCAGAGGCAGGGGTGAGGTGGGCAAATGGGTGAAGGGGATTAAAAGGTACAAACTTACAGTTATAGAATAAATAAGTCCTAGGGGTATAATGTACAGCATGGTAGCTATAGTTAATAATACTGTCTGGTATATTTAAAATTTACTAAGAGTAGGTCTTAAAAGTTTTCACCATTAGAAGAAAAGTTCCGTAATTATGTGGTGATGTTAACTACACTTACTGGGTGGTGATGATTTTACAATGTATACAAATATGGAATCATTATGTCGTGCACGTGAGCTAATATAATATTATATGCCAATTATATCTACGTTAAAAAAGTGAAAAGAGAGGTAGGCTTTCAAGTTGATAGTCCAGTGGATGTGCTTCTTTTCATCCTGTCCTACAGAACATTTCTGTATAAGTGAGAAAGAGAAAGTTTAGAATGTATAACGGTGACTTGGGTTTCTGAGAACTAAAAGAACATTATATTTAAAAATGTAACTGATCGTGTAGACTCAGGAGGAAAACCTATCAGGTAACATTTCATTAGGCTCGTCTTGGTGCACAGGTGTCTCCCATGCCAGCAATATGGATGAGGGGAGTAACAGCATGCTCATGAAGATTCTGAGGCCTCCCCGGCCTCTAGTTAAGAGCACATTAACAGTAGCTAGCAAATAATATGAAATGGAGTTCTTTTAATTTTAAGTGTAATTTCATATAAAGGATTTAAATGATTAAGAACAATTACATTAAGTGTGTATATTTACTATTTTGGGGTCCTGATACGTAAGGTTTGTCATTTCAAGTTCAGCGATCATGCTTACTTGTTTTTTATACAATAATAAATTTTTTGGGCCTCATTACACTATGCTTCATACACTTCATTACGCTATATCAAAATATGCATAATTAATTGGGGCTTAAAAAGCTTGTTCAATTTATTTAAGAAAAATTAATAAAACTGATTATTTCTTTTAAAGCTGCAGAAGAAAGAAGAGCAGCAGTTGGAGCCCAAAAAAAGTACTAGCCCTAAAAAAGCTGCAGAGCCCACTGTTGATCTTTTAGGACTTGGTAAGTAACAAAAAATGTAAGTCACCTTAAGAGTTATACAGTAATTGAAATCTTTACTTGAAATGAATATAATGGCTTTATCATCAGTATGCCAAAAGATACCTGTTAACTGAATTTGAAAATGGTATGATGAGTATGCTCAGTTCCCACAAAAAGGGAAGTCTTTAATAAGAGAGCTAGTTCTGTCAGCACTGTCTCCCCTGAAATACAAGTAATGAGTTCCTTGGGGGAAAGAAGAGATATCAAAGTAATCTTCAGAGGCGTAGTGGACTGACATTTCAACATTTAAAATAAAGAGTAGATTTCTTTTTCTCTTCTCTCCCTCCTTCCCTCTTACCCCCACTTCTCTTTATTTATTTTTGTTGGGGGGATTCCCTTAGCAAAATAATTATGGGGTAGCCTTATTGTAATATGTGCTGGTTTAAAACAAAATTTAATTTTGGTTGACTGAAGCAATGTGCTTTACACCTAGATCTAGTGGCTAAATTCATTTATTTGATCACAATAAGAAGTGCTCATTTTAATTTAATGTCGTATTTATTCTTATGGCTGACAGATATATGTTGTCTGCCTGGTAAGTACACAGGCTTCCATTCAAGGAATGTTTATATGTGCTTTTCTACAAATACTGTCAGCTCTTTTTAGATCTTTCTTCTCTTCCTACAAAAATAGCTTTAAATAAATGGTTATTTTTAGTAATATCTGAGCCTTCAGCAGTAATTAATGTAAACATTTTTTTTAGTTTGGAGAAGGATTAACAAAGGAAAAAATGAAAGATACTTGAAGTTGAACTTCATATACTGCTTTTCTAAAAATTGATCTTTGTTCTTATTGAGTATATATTGTTTTCTGTTTTAAGAATTATAGTTGAGTGCTTTATTCATTTCTTAGGAAACTGGTATATCACGGAAATATATCCCTGTAGGTAAAAATTTTCTGTGGTGGTGAAAATAAGTAGTATATATAACTGTAATTTTGAAAGTACAGCTTTAGTCCAGGGGCTCTGAAATAATTACGTTGAATTCTAGTGCATATAGTTTCTGTATTTTCTTTTCTGTAAATGAGAGAAAAGAAAAAAAAGACTTACTACTAAAATCTTACTAAAACTATATGAATGTTTGTCTTCACTGTACCATTTCCTTTCCAGTCTAAGTGTCTGGTTTATTACTTTATAACTTAGAAATGTAAAATACAAACTAGACCTGACTCTTATCATACAGATTCATTCATTGATTTAACAAATACCGATTAAGTGTCTACCATGCTTTCAGGCACCATTGTAGGCACTAGGGAGATAGCTATGAATGGAAACAGATAGAAATATCTGACCTTTTGGAGCTTTCATTCTATCTGAGGAAACAGTAAATAACACTTAAGTAAGGTATATTATGGGTCATATATGGTAAGTGCTACAGATAAAGTAAAAATGAGTAGTTGTAATTTTAAATACGGTGGCCAGTGCATGGAAGGTGCTCACAGAGTATTGCTGGAGCAAAGACCTGATGAAGTTGTGGATGTCTGGATGTGTGGGGCAAGAACATTCTAACCAGAGAGAATAGCAAGTGCAGACGCTGTGCAGTAGCCGCTTACTTGATGTGTGCAAGAACCAGCAAGGATGACTGTGTAGCCAGAGTGGAATGATCTCTGGGGACAGTCGTGACAGAGGAGGGGAGTGTGTGGCTTTTCCTCTGAGTGTCCTGGAAATACATTGGAGAGATTTGAACAAAAATGTCCATGAACTGACTTTCATTTTTAAAGAATTACTGTAGCTACTATGTTAAGAATAAATTATATAGCAGGGCAAGGCTGGAAGCAGGGAGACCAATAAGGAAACTGTTAGAATAATACAGGTGAGAGATGACGGTGGCTTGGAGTCAGTGGTGACGTTGGAAGTTAAAAGAAGTTATCAGGTTCTGGGTATGTTTAGAAGTTGGAGCCAATAGGATTTGCTGACCAACTGAAGTTATAAAATGTTTATCTTTGGGAATGAACCTGTAGAACAGGCAAATCTGCTGATTTAAGACAAGAAAAGTTGCTATAACAATGTCTTGACTAGCCAGTGTGATCTAGTAGACAAATGGGGTGGCTGGCCTTAAATACTCAACTCTTACTGCAGAGTTGTGTTGTAATAACCACCAGCGCTCAGCAGCTCACATCAGGACCGTTTCTTGTTTCTGCTCTCAAGTCTGTGGGTCAACTAGGGCATCTCTGCTAGAACTTCATTTGATTTGTTTCCTGCCAACTGTTGCACTGTCACATATCGTGTCTCTGTTTTTCAAGATCCTGTAAGTGTTTCCCTGTCCTCTGCCACCTACCGTCAAAGCCGGTACCACAGATTTTAGGATTTGGTGATGACGGCACCCCTCTTGTGGCAAGACTTTCTGTGATAGTGCCCATGCCCCCTAGCAAACAACCCCCAAATCTCCTTGGCATGTATCAGTTAACATTTCTTTCTCTCACTCATGGTCTGTGTAGTACCTGTTCTTATCCGTTTAATATCTGATACGTTCTCTATCAGCTCTCTTTCTGACAGTGGGAGAGCTTCAGGGAACCGTTTCTTTAGGGGAGAACCAAGGTCGATATAGGACAGGAAGGTGAAGAGGATATTTGAAGAACATAAGGATATATAGGGGATTTTGCTGGTGACTGTCAGTTTTAGATCATATACTGGAAGAGTTCCAAAGGGGGCAGGGACAGGAGCTAAGGTCAGAAAGAGGGATATCTTGCTGATGAAGTTTTAGCAGCAGGGATTGGGGGTATCTTACCCAGAGTATGTACAACTCTTCACTCTTACTGATCATAAATTCTTTTTAAAAATCTTTTCAGGCTTTTTTTTTTTTTTTAAAGCTCTGTGAAGCATTACCTTTAATGAGTTTGTGAAGGTCTAGGAGACCACAGAGAATCAGAGGTCCCTTCCAGCTCAAAACAAACAGTGATCCTAAATCAGAATTGATTATTGGTATCTACTTTGGGCCGCAAACTGTTTTTCTTTTGCCCAAGGTAAGCATACCACTCTCCCCTAAGGGGACTCTGGTTTTCCCCTGTAAATTGAAACATGGTACGGGGTAGGGAGCAGGTGCCCTGAAGTATGATTTATGGTCATGCAGAGATGACAGTATATCCCCATGTGAATGAGACTGGAACAGGCATTAACATAAAGCATTTGCAGAAAATACAGAGAAAACCCTCACCATTAGTTTAGTCACACGACCACAGAGGGGCCATGAATCCTAAAGTTTACTGTTTGTATTTGGGATCACTTTTAATCTCATAATAGGGTAATCATTAAGATCATATTTCAGTAATTTGATCTTCCCTTTAAATGGCACTTTGGTGAGTCCATGGTCTTTTTTTCAACCTACTGACTCAAGCTAAACCTATTTTCTTCAGCTCACCTTTCCTGATCTACTCCCTATCCCAAGGTCAAACATAAAATGCTCTGGATATGCTTTTTAGCAAGACTCAGCAAGATTTTTATGAAAAGGACCGAATACTTCGGCTTTGTAAGGTACATGGTTTCTGCAACTACTTAACTCTCCCATTGTAATATGCAAGTAGCTATATGCACATACACAAGCAATTGAGCATGGCTGTGTTCCAGAAATATTTAAAAATAGGCAGTGGATTATAGTTTGCTGACCTCTGCCTTTTGTTCCCGATTGTACCTGCAAGAACTGCTTCATATATAGGTATTAATTAGAGTCCGAAGCCTGTACAAATACAACTTATTCAGTGTTTTGCTCTCTAATACCAGAAGTGGGGTCAGATACTTGGTTATTACCTGCCCTCTAATCTTGGAAATAACCTAATGTCTTAGGGTTCCTCTTCAGTAAGGGCCAGACCGAAAATCCCTGAATCAGACTCCAGACTCAGATACATCTTGACTTGAATGTGTACCTGTTATGTTAGAAGAGAATTGAAATCAGTTTCTAGGGCATGTTGGGGTGGTGTTCTTCATGGTCCCTACCTGTGTAGTTATTCTAGCACCGGGCATTATGCTGTTATGCTAGTCTCCAATTTTTGTTGATTGTTTCTTAGTTTTTACATGATAAAAACTGACAGCTTAGCAATTGGTTAGGATAATCCTCCCAGACTAATACTTTCATCCAGTAGTGCTTTTTTCTTTTTCTTTTCTTTTCTTTTTTTTTTTTTTGTAGAAAACCCCATCTGAGAATGCTTCAGGGCTGAGCAAATGCTCTAAGCATAAGGCTTGAGAAGAATCATAAATTGCTGGTGTTAAACGTGACCTTACAGGTTGCAGTTCAATATGCCACCGAAGGTAGAAAGCTCTCCTGTGGGGTTTCTGTCTGCGGTCGTCCGTTCACTGCACGCACAGAGCAGCGCACCCTGGCTCCTTGCCAGGAGGCTTTGACAGGCAGTCCTGTCAGGCACAGAGGTGACTGGGGTGGACCGCAGAAGGTGTCTGAGAGGATCGGATCCTCAGTGCTCCAGAAGGCATCTTGCAAAGGATGGATATGATCTTGAAAATCTAGCTCAGGGTGTATTCAACTGCTTAAATAAAATCATTCTTATGCTTACTCACTTTAATCTAGGGAAATTTCTGCCTAAACATTTCTTAAGTTCTACTTTAAATTATTTTAAATACCAAACTCTATAGAGGAGTAGGTAGAGGTTCCTTCAGTTTTTTCTTAATTCAAAAGCTCAAAGGACATACAGCTTTGGGCAAGTTTTCAAGTTTTCTCATTCATGTTTGTGTTTCAGGAAATAAAAGCTTTAACTTACCACGATGGCCGAGTTCAAATGCATTGACAATGCTAGTTAAATGCAGTTAACAGTATATAACCTACTTAATTTTCTAGTAACATACATTCCAGTTTTACATGATGAGAGAGATGAATTTTTATTCATGTTTTATTTTAGAGAATATATTACTCTTTTTTTTCTCTAAGTTTTTTTGTTTTTAGAAGATTTTTTTGGACAGAAACAAGCTAAAGGATAAAACCCCCACAGAAAGCATTCTACGTACTTTTATTTCTTTT